CTTTTTTTACCTCTTACAACTTGTCATTTAGGGTAGATGAACTCAGCACTGTAAAATGGTTTACATAGTTATAAATAGGTAAATACAGGTACTTTAAAGTATTTCAACACCTTGTGAACATATCAAAGTGATGTTTTATAGAAACATTTCGGTGACAGTCTTTGTTCTTGTTTTAAAATGTGGTTGTTTGCTGATGATGGGTTTGAAGAAGGGAGATAGTGAATGAACATGAAATTTGTACTTGTGACCTCTGTTCAAGACAGTTATTATGCTACTCTGAATAAAATTATTCTTTATTCAGGAGTCCTGCACAAAGTTACTGTAATATTTGAATCCCAGGTGTTTAATCAAAGCATAACTTGGAAGGGATTTAGGGGATTCACAAGTCTTCTGGCTCTCAGTCCAGGATTTGAAGACAAAGAAGTAAATTGGAACCTGTATTAGTAGCTTTCCTGTATGTTTTTTTTTTGTTGTTGTTGTTGCTGTTTCATAGTTTAAGGGGTATGTTTATAATTCTCAACCAGTTTTTGTTTTTGGAATGAATTAATTCAATTGAAAAGCGAGTGGGAAATATCTGGTGGTTTGTATTGTTTTGTGCAGTGTGTTATCGCAAGCCAGGTTTTTATGTTATGTTACTGATTGCTCTGTCTGGTCTGGCTTTGAAATGTTTCAGACCATGAGACTTTTATCATTCTTCTGGGGCTACTATGTCATCTAACAGATTTCACTGACAGTAAGTTTTCCCTGATAATATAGGTAGCTCTCTTTTCTGGTTTTGTGATAAGTGAATCCAATATTCTTTGAAAGATGTGAGTGATCAGTTGAAATTTTCAAAATATTCCCTCCAAATTGGAAGACAAAGGGAATTTTAGGCAATATAGAGGATAGATAGCAGAAGAGAAAATAATTTATCAAGCTTGATATACTTTCTGATACAAACATGTTTCTGAAGTCTGCACCATACTCTTCGGTGACACACAATTATGATAGATACTACTCTTGAGAGACTCATATATACTTTTCTAGAGATCTAAGTTGGCTTCTTACTTCATTTTTAAGGTACAGACAGTAAATTGTCTAAAAAGTGAGACAAAATCTGTCTGCAGGATGAATATGTGAATCTTTCCATCATTTCAACTTTCTTCCTCTGCTACATTCTGTTATGTTTGTATCCCTTATTTTTGATTTAAGTCACATGTTGTAAAGGCCAGTGTTCTACAAAAGGATCTTGGCAGGTTGAGAGCTGTGACTGTGAATAATGAGTCAATTATCACTTAGTCAGGGAAAGGCAGAGTGATCCGCTTGTTGGCTTGAATGTGATCCTTCCTTCTTCCCTTTCTTTTTCAGTAGTAGGGACAAAAATGGTTGAAATTCAGAACACTAGCAAAGAAATATAGCTGTGCATTTGTCTGTTACTACAGATTTTAGGTTTTTTAACTTTAGAACAACTTACGTGTGTTATTTTTAATTATATTTTATAAGATCATGTCTGTTGCTGTTTCAAGGGAGACAGTTACATGATACATGCATTGGGTTGTAGGTGTCAGTAATTACTTAGGACATCTGAAGGTGGATCTCACTGGTCCTGAGACACTGTGCTTGAGGCTAGCAACATAATTTTTAATTTACCTCCCACCCTTCAATTTACATGGCATGGTTGATATTCTGTCTGCAGAATTACTTTTAACAACTGCTTTGGGGTTGCTTAGACATTTTTCTTCTGAATTTTTCTTCACTTATGGTCATGAATCTAGTATCACAGTTGTGAATGTTTCATCAAAAGTAATGTTTAATATTCTGTAACCCAGTAACGCTGCAACGGTCTTAACCAGAAAAAGGTTTCTGACAAAAGTTTATGACTTATCTCTTAGGAAAAGGGATAATGCTTCTAGCTGTAGTCTGGAGTTGGTAAATGGCACATAAAGACTATGAATGCACTTGATTTCTTACTAGCTCATTTAATCTATCTAGCTTTTTAGCAGTGACAATAGCTCAGCTGTCCAGAAAATATATATCCTAATAAAGGAAGTTTGCCAGCTCATATGTACTGCCTTATTATAGCTGCACAACTATGTGTCATAGGTCTTTTGATGCTAAAAGTGATATTATTTTCTTTGGAAAATTCAGAACCTGTATTTTCGAGAAGAATGATCTGATTTATATCCCAGAAGAATGACCACAATGGTATCCAAGATAAGCATGGGCTACTACAGGAATATCATGTTTATTCAGAGTCTGTCGTCTGTATGAATTATGTTGCTGATCATTCCAGTGACGATTTCTTTTGTCTCTCTGTTGGTCTGGCTGAGAAAATTGTATGGCTTCTGGAAGCTTTTTATCACTTCTCAGACATAAATGCTCCTAGTGTGCACAAGGAGGATACTGAATCCTCATTCCCTTGTTACTCTATAGATCTGCAGATGTTTGGCTGCAGTAATTCACCAATATACACTTACCTTAAAATTAATATCCTTTTGTGTCTTGTCAGTCTTTAAGATAAAACTTGCAAGTTCTTAGTATAAAACAGGATGTCCATCCATGCTTTACCACTACAGTAAGAAAAAATTGAAGCTTTTTGAGGTAGCCATCTAGTTCTTCCTATGAAGTAGGGTGACAGTAAAAGTATCTTCAAATAGTGGATAACCATTTTACCAGTCAAGAATTTAAAGGAGGGTTTCTTGTCTAATGCTGCTTCATTTCCGTGGCTTGAAAAAGAGAGTGTGTAGGAGGAAGAGATTGCTCATATGTACTTCTGTATCCAAATATTGTCTTAGGAAAGTACTTGCTAAAAAAGTGGGGAGAAGCCACATGTCACAGAGTCCTGGGATTTAGGAATTATTCAGAGGATCCATCTGTGATGTGAACATTAAAATCTGTTTGCTAGATTGCTCTGGTCTGGTGCAATTTTCTGTCTATGAACCCTGACTCTTATATAATAAGAGTGTGGACTTCAGGTTATGCCCAGACTGCCAGCCCTTTGTATATGTCATAGTAATGGCAGCACAGAACTGTCCCAGGGGATTAAGAACTCTTTACTGTATGGCTCAGTGTAGAAACCCCAAGGGCATCATTAGTACTCTCCACAAGAATTACTTCAATGCTTGTAACATATAATTATGCTTTAGAAATGCACTGCAGTGTTTTTTTTGTTTTTGTTTTTGCAAAGTGGATTTTTCAAACTAAACCCAAAATGAGGCCTCATTTAACTTCATTAAATGAGCATTTGTTTTTCATTAAGAGCATATGGTGTGAAGTTTATTTGAACTGATTGTCCTGTAGCTACTCCATGTTTGATGATGGGACTTTTAAAAGAAAAAGTACTGTGTTTTTATTTTGGCCATGATTACTATATTTTTTGCCACGTTGAAGGGCAAACATCCATACATCCATACATGCACGAACTTGTCTGAAATCAGCTCCTAGATCCAGCCAGTACTGTTGACATTTCATTTGATGATCACCTAGATGTAGACTAATTCTTCACACCCTGGGGACCTGGCTGGTAGGACAGTCAGAAGCACTTAGAGTTGTCTTAACTTTGCTGTTGTTGTCCAAGGAGTTGTTAAAGGTCTGAAAGATGTTGAAAGTTATAATTGAAATACTCAGTTCTGTTTCCGAACTTCCCTGTTTTCAGTGAGGACTCAATTAGCCACTATTGGTGAATAAAATAAGACCAAGAGAAGTTATTCTGATCTTCTGTAAATACACTGTCAAAACATTTTTCCAGTCTGTCTTTCAAGACCAAAGGAATTTCTTAAGGGAACAAACGCTGCTTGAATCAGTGTTTGTTCTTTAATTTCTGGACCTAAACTTTTGGCAATGAAGTATCACTGGCATACTGCTGTTTTTTAGTCTGATCCCAATAAAAAAGTATTTAGTCCCAAAATTTTCCCCTTAGATTACTGAGCATTCTATAGCTGTTAAACACTGAAAGCAACACTGTGTAAAGAAATCAGCTGAAATGAGGTATTCTACTAAAGACACGGGGGCTGAATGATAGGACCTGTCAAGAGTATCTCATCACATGGCCCTGGACTGGTGGAGGTTCTAGTGGTGATGTCCATGGACACCCAGGAGCTCTGTGAATGCTGACCCTGGACCAGCCAGAATCAGTATCAGCTCTGAGAAGAACTGCCAAGGCTCACTTCTGTACTAGACAACATGGGCATTCGCTTTAGTGATTGTGAGGTTCAGACATGAACCTACTGATAGCCAGTATAAATAGGGTGATACCAAAATATTGATGTAGAAAATGTAGGAATTACATTTGTGGCCCAGATCATCTTTGTACTATGATCAACATCAGAGCCATTTCTTGTGCCTGGTCACAAGGTACATCATTGATTAGTTATCTCCTTGACAAGTCAAGTGATTTTGTATGCCCAGATCCCATGTAAGCATCGTTGATTGACTTTTAAAATGAGGGATATAAGTGTTGGGAGTGTGTGTTGGTGTTGGGGAATGAGGGAGGTTTTCGGGTCCTAATGCTGAAAGTGTACATCTGAAATAGCTGTGTGCAGTTGCCATTGGGCTGGTGTATAGTGGTGTCTCAAAGAAGAGACTCTCTTCATGTATGCTGGTGTTTGCAGTGTCAGCTGAAGACATGGGCACAAATGCTATGTGCCATTTTGTCCAGAATTCAGAGAGATTTAAATAAAGTTTTAGAATAAAAGCTAAGTTGTAACTCTATTGTCTTGCTTTTTTGGCTATTTCAGCTCTTGGTTGATTAAAGTTTTCTGTATATTGCATAAGCTTTTGAGACAATTAAGTCTTCAGTATGGAGGAACAGGTGATACTGTATGCACTTGAAGTTCAAACTGAATATTCGGTTTTATGATAAAGGCTGCAAAATACTTGTTTATGTTGCACGTGGAAGCTCTGAGCATGAGAGGAAAAGTGAATGTGTAAAATAAGTCAGTATTAGATCTAATGAAATACATGTTTTTCTTTTTCTTGGGTAGTGCATTATGTTATCTGATCTGGTGTGATTCTCCTTGCAGAGAAAGAGGGGAAGACAATTCAAGGAAATAAAGTGGACTCCTTAAGAAAAATATTTTCTACTTCTGAATTATCAAAAAGAAACGAACAGAATGGCTCACCTGAAAGAAGCAAAGAAATGTGGGTTTCTCTTCCATCACAGATGCCAAATGAGAATGAGGTAAGGAGTTACAACTGTCCATGTGGGCAGGCACCGCATTCAAAGAGATGAAAATATGAAGAGATAAACTGTTCAAATGTTAGAGGCTAGTGGTATTTATCTGATCTGAGGCAAATATTTGAAATACTGTGTAAGCGTTTAATGCTTAGAGAGGCACCTGCAGGGATCGTGTTTGTCAGTGGCATTTGCCCTGCTGAAGAGCTGCCATAATCCAACTAATAAATAAGGTGCCCTGCAATGAGCCATGTGATGCTTTCACTGAAGACTGCAGTTAGCAGTAGAGGTTGGCAAAAAGGAAAAGAAATCTTGTGAGTATGGATGCCAGCATGTAGAGATTTATTTTGTTCCTTGTAGATTTTAGGACGTATGGAGTTCTGTGTTACCAAAGCTGGATTACTTCAGATGCCTAAGTAAACAGTAGGCAGGCCAGAGGCATTTTTAATCTTCTGAAACATATGAGATTAGGGATTTAATGTGTAGGGACAAGAAAACAACAGACATCATCTGGAGAGAGCAAGATGGAAATCTGAGTCAATTTGTTAAGAACTTCTGCTCTCCTGCCTGAATAGCAAGTAACAAAGCTGTGATCTAGTCCGTAGTCAAAATTTCCCTTCATTAAACTTTTTATTAAAAAAGAAGTAGCAGGTCCTTTTGTGCAATACACAGAGCAACACACTTAAGTGTCTTCAAATGGTGGGCCTGCCAGGCCTCAGTCAAAGAGCACAGAATGCCATTTCCCCCCCCACTAGGACATGGCTTTGAGGTGGAATCAAACAAGGCTTTTAAAACAATCACATTCTGTCAGTTAATTGTGTAATAATAGTGACAAGATTCTTTTAAACATTTTTTTTCATGAAGAATAATGTTGCTTCCTTGGGATAGTCTGTCTTTGGGTCTCTTTAGCCACTTTAAATTGTCTTTCTGCCCCATAAAGCAATGTGTAAATTTCCTTATCCTTTTTGTAATGGAACATCCTAATGCTTGTCCTTTTATCTAAAAAAAGGCTTCAGACATGGCTGCACATTTTTGCCACATTTGCAGTTTAAGAAACAAATACAGTGATAGTAGAATGCATCAGAAAAATTGCTACTGTAGTAGCAGGAGGAGGCTGTAATAGGGTAAATTGACCACTGTAACCTTTAAGCCTGTCCTGAGGAAAGGAAAGAGGGGAAAAAAATGCTGTTGAAAACAGTACTACTCTAAATGCTGCTTTTTAGGCATGTTATGGTTACTTACATTGTTGTTCCAGTTGATTCAGTTGGAACTGGTCCTGTTTAGGTTTTCAGGGAAATACCTGCATCTGTTCTATTTTCAGAAGCATTGCATTCACTTCTTAAACATTTTTATATACAACATATATAAAGTTATCTGAACACCATCTTGAGTAATGTGTTCTAGGGGACATTGCTTGAGCAGGGAAGTTATTCAAGGTGACCTCGAGTGGTCTTTTCCAACCTTACCGATTGTGTGATTCAATGAACTGTGTTTGTAAATCAGTACGAGATTTGACTTACTTTGGTTCTGGTTTGTGCATGTAGGTATTTCTGCCTATCTACTTGCAGACAATGATGAATGATTTTTGCTTTATTAACTTAAGAATTACTTGCAATTTGTTGATGTATTTCTTTCCCATCTATGGGAAAGAACAATGATAGAAATACGAATTTTTTTCAAATGTTAGTATGTACTTTTAAAGTGTAAGGGTTATGTAACTCTTGATGAGAATGTTGTCAAATCAGGTTGATAAAAATTATCTAAGAGCATTTCTAATTACTTCATAGAAACACAGAAGACAACTCAGTGCATATCGTAAATCCTCCATGGTAACACTATTTACATGTAGGCTGGGAAAGGCCTTTTACTGTCACCCTGTGCATCCATTCAAAGTGATACTTTAAATGACAAATGCCTCTTCTTGTGGTACGTTTTAGGTAGTTTAGACTATTTTCAAGCGACATCAGTCTAAAAAAAAAACAGTAGAGCAATGCCCCACATGAAATACTTGAAATTTAATTATTCTTAGGTTTTTTACTTCCCAGTCAGTTCACCATTAGTGTCAGAAGGATCAAGCTCTAGTTTGCCTCCAGAATGTACTCTGTGCCATATGAAGTGAATTTGCAAAATTGCATAGTAACTTATCATTTATCTTTTTCCCATGAAAATATTTTACTTCTCCATCTTTCCACTGAGTTCCTGAAAAAGTTGCTGTACAGCTTGAGCTTCTTTCCCATCTCTTACATTGGTATGCAGCAATTTTGGCAGCAATTCTTTGCCTATACCTAAAAGTATTTCCTTTGGGTTATGCGTTTCAGAGAAAATTCATACGCTTTCTTGGAAAAACGCAGGGGAGAATGGAGAAGATGAAGCAGACAATTTAATGTGTTTTTACTTTACTCTATGTTGTACTAAAAGGAATGGAATTAATACATTTTAATCTATTTTCCAATTTGGATTTTTTACAGCAGGTGGACAAGTACTTAGATTGGGAAGATATAGACTCTGATGAAGAGATGTGCCGTGGTAGGTTCCCCCCTCCATATTCACTGTCATTTTCTGTCTTTGAATGCAAGTGTATGAACATGATTAAAGATTATGAACATGAACATGAACATGTTTCTTTGAATGCAAGAGTATGAACATTAATTAAAGAATTCTTTCTTCTCTAAAAGCGAGGATGTTCCTCAGTTCTTCTATTGCTAGAAAATTCCCCACATGGCCCCAATTCCCCAAATTAAAGTACTAATTTCCTCACTCTTTAAGAGGTAATGAGAAAGTAAATTAAAAGGAATATTTATTAAACCATGTCCTTGAGAATAGTTATTTTTGTCAAGATTTTTAGAAGTGCAGAACACTTCTTGTTAGCAACATTTCTGAATTTTTCTGCAATTCTGTTTTGTATTGAAATTATTTTGATTACAAAAGTTTTTTACGAAGCAATTGGGTGCTAAGAGATAGTTCTGTAAAGTGGAAGTATTTAATGAAAATTTTGTCCCTACCTGTTAAAATGATTCCATCCCAGGCTTAAAATGTATGAGACTAATTTTGAATTCACAATGAAGTTCTTTAAGAGTTCCAATTATGAGCATTTTGAGTTGTCTTGAATTGTTCCACATCTATAATAATTTTAACTCTTCCACCTCCAAAAAATAAATTAAATATTAATGTCTATAGCTATTTGTCTTTCATAGGTCCTTGTGTGGTCTTTATGGCCACCAGAATTGACACTCTTTTAGTGTTTAAATAATTTTCCTCATCTATATGTGTGATTGTATAAAGAAACCAAGCCACACAAATTAAGGGATGTGCTTGAGGTCACTGACAGAAGCTGCTACCGAGCAGAACTTTGATCCTTGGTTTCTTACTCATTGCCATTTGATTGGTCTGTCCACTCTCACAGTCAAGATTTGATTAGTCTTTCTGTATATGCAGAAGTCCTATGAAGTCAGAGGGCTTAGAGACTTCTAGTATCTCATAAGAAAATAATAAACCTAATAAACATAAGTCAGGTTTACAGCAAATATTATTTTTTCAAGCTAGACTTTTCAGAAAGGAGGTAGGAAGATAGCAGTGTTCTATCAGGTACAGACATCAAAGATTTCTTTTGAATGCAGTGTTCATAGGTGCCTGTTTTTCCCTTTATAGACCACTGTTCTGTGTTTATGTCTTAAGTTCTGGTAATATCTATTAAAAAGATCCTGGAGCTTACCAGTGTAAGCATAAACATTTCACTTGTGTCATAATGAAATGATAATTGTCTATGTCTAGTTCATCAAAGTATTGTTAGGCATTGCAAGTTCCAAACAGGCCACAAATTGGTTGCTGAGAATTAAGATCAACTCTAAGATACCGAGTGGAACTGTGAGGATAGAAGAGCTCTGCTAGAGCTGGGGGATAGCTTGTCACATTTGGAATGGTGACAGGCCTTGCCTCTCTCCAGCTTTTGTGTCATTTCTGTGTATTTGTGTCTGTGCAAGAGTAAAAATCACATACATTTAGAAACCCCTAGTAAAACACACTAAATTTGAGGCAGACTTGCCTTAGTGCAGAAAGAAACTGGATCAGCAAGACTCATCACAACATTAAGCATTTAGATTGTATTTTATAGCATGGAAACAGTGTAGAGCCAGAAATTTATTATTCCTTTTAAACTCTGTAAGGAAAGCCAACAGCATCCAAATTTATACCTGGGAAACGCTCAGCCTGGGTTTTGCCCGGGGCTTCTTCAGTGGAGATAATTGTTGAGTCAGGGTAAAAAATTTCCCTTGACTCCTAAGTGCAGAAAATAGCACTTATAGCTTGATGGTTGTCTTACATGTCAAAATCCACTTGAAAGGCTTTATAATAAGAGAGGTAAAATTTTACTCCTTTGGAAACCATAGCAACAAAATGCAATTTACAATGTAAAATGGTGTCACTTCTATTGTTTACAATAATAAAGTAATCTAAAATAATATCCCTATTGACTACCTTAATAAGGATTAATTCTGAAGAATTCCAGTTAGTTTATAAATGAGGCAAAGTGTGACGCAAATTTGAAAGACATTCTTTTGTTGGCATTTGTAAATGCTGCCACCTATATGTCAGAACAAATGATTGATTTAAGACTTCATATTGGCAAAAACAAGCTAAAAAATATTGTATTCTTTTTTACACGGTAAAAAATATCATACCTTGCTAGTGTAATTGCCACAAGCTTTTATCTCTGCTTGTGATTGACAACAGTTCAGTATCTCTGTGCTTCATTTAGCTTTAAAGGGCAGATCAGTTAGCTAAGTTAGCAACTGTACATTAATATAATAAATATTCACACTTAGGGGCAAGTGGCTCAAAGTTGACAGTGTGAAAAGCATGATAGAAAATAGGTGTTAAAATATGTCATATAAACTAGTCCTGTTTGGGAGATATCCTGGAAAAGTCATTCTAGTGGCTTTTTTTTCTTTTTCTGATTTATTTTGCAAAGTTCAATGTCTTTTAGGGTGTGAATGCATGCAGCTGCTTCTTACAAATAAAAAACCAGCCCATAGAGTTGGCCAACATGCAAATTCATTGTGGCTGTTTTTCTTTGACAGCACTGGGCTGAAAGCCTGAAACCGGGGCAATGCTTTGCCTTGTGGGACTTTGGCACAGTAAACCCTGATTGGCAAAGTAAAATTGTTGCCCTAAACTATAAACTGTAGCTTTAATGCATCATGTATAGAGAGCGTGTGTATGGTGAACTGTTTAATCGCTCTTTCTCACTGCATTTCATCTGTAACTGTAAGTTGCTTAAGGCAACAATAGAGATATCAGGCTTTCTCCAGGGATAGATGGAGAATACCTAGCGCCTGTGTTGCTCTGTGTTCGGGCAACAGAATTCCTTTCCAGGTCTGGTTACAAATCTCTTGCTGCAGGGCTTGAAGGGTAGTTAGGTAACAATAGGTAATATTTCTATAAAGTATGAAATATGTAAAAAGCATATCTAGAGACCTGGAGTGTGCTATTGTTTAAATACAAGAGAAAATTAAAATTAAATTAATTAAAATTACAACAGGACTAATTAAATGTATGGGTGAGACTGCATAGGCAAGGGTGTCAGAGTCTCATCATAATCCATCTTGGAACACTGAGTTACTGCAAATTGATGTTTTCAAGGTCCTGGTTGTCTGTAATCCCACAGAGGCTGAGGAGAACCCAATTGACTCAGTTACTTTGAAGCTGAGGCCAAGCATAACTACTGATTAATTAAATAATTCTTTAGGCAAATTATACCAATGTTATTTTTCATAACCTGTGCCTTTTTCATTTATATTTTGAGTCTATGCTGACCTCCAGAAAAATCAGATTGAGGAAGATGATTGAGAGTTGAATTAGGTGGATTTTTCTAAGTATGAGGCTACCCCCAGCTGCTGAATCCCTTTCTTGTTTTTCTCCTCCAGTCTCTGCAATCCATTTAACACTGCCTTGAGATGATTTCACACTAGGCAACTCTTTGGGACTAACAGCCTGAAGCATGAGAATCAGAGGAGACTGCAAAATTTAGCTTTTAAGCTTTTTTTGTTATCATTGCCTCCCTTCTCAGCTCCCCATCAACAGCATTTTTGTGAAATGTAGTGTCTGAAAGTGGTAAAATCTGTGTCAGTGCATATATATTTGGGCACTGTTTGGCTACTGTAAAGTTAAAGATATAGACAAGACTTTGAACTTCTTTACTCTTGGAAGTTCAAAGCAGACTTGTGCCAGTAGATTTTTTTCCTATGCCTATAATTAATGGTACCCAATAAGCAAAAAGTCCAACTCAGCACTGTTGACAGATTAAATAATCACTTTCTGGTTTGGCGAGGGGGAGTGACTAAAGAGAATTGGTCAGTTTCCAAATGTGCCCTCATTAAAGTATGCTGGACTTGAGTAAAATCATCGGTGTTCACTGCAATATCATCCAGGGACTTGATTCTTCATGATATGAGATGTGCAATTCAAAATGTCTTCTCAGTTTTTTTTATATCACTACCTGTTCAGTTATCTCTATATATGATGCCGTTGGCAGTATCCAAGGCTTTCCTGTTGCTAATTAATCACCTCCACAGAGAACATAATTAGCAGCTTAATTAGGATCATCATCCAGTAGTGCTGTAGCAGCAGCCTAAACAAGCTGTGAGGTACTGGCTAGAACTTACAATAGCCTGGAGTTCCTTTGGGTTCTCCCACTGAGAAGGACTGTCAAAACTCTCTAATTTTTCTCTCTGAAGGAGTTTCTTTATTAAACATTATCAGGGAAAGCAGCATTTACCAATTAGACTTTCATATGCTGTAACACAGCCAGGATAGAGAGAGACAAAGCTCATTTCTGGCATGTCTACTGGCAAACAAAGGTTGATTACATTCTTATGGGGTGATTGAAGGGAATTTGAAACATTATTTGCATTTCTAACAAGCCTTAAAAAGTGGAATTGACATTCTGAGTATGACAAGCACTTCTCGCTAAAAGCAAAAATAAATTTCCTTCTGTTGTCCTAATTCTTAAGAGTTATCTTTCTGAGCCCTTGCCAGACTGTTGCATAACAGTGCTTCCTCCTCATCTTCTCTCTCCAGATTGGTCTGTTGAGGGGGAGAAGCTTTTAGCACAGAAAGAACCAGTGTTTATATCAGGAGGTGATACAAACCTCTTCATGTCCAGACTTCCTTTAATTTAGTGAGGGTATAGAATTAGGGTGCACGTTTGAAACAATAGTGGAAGATGCCATGTCTTTCAATGAGCATTCTCATCTTCCGTCTGTCCTACAAATAGTTTTGACCCAGATTATGAAAAAAGGAGCTGCAGAGCATGTGAAGACATAGCGTAGATACCTGTGGACTGCGCTGCGCTTTTCAGGAAGCTTTGCCATATAACTGGTGCAGAAGCAGAACAGACGTTATGCTGACATTAAGTACTCAAAGCACATAGGTGGCTAGAGATTGACATACACAACCAAGAGAATAGGTATGAAAACGAAACCACTTACGTGTGGATAGGAACCAAGAAACAAAAATCCAGGAATGAAATGCCCAAGGGAATTAATTCAACTCCTTTTAAAAGAAAACGTTCTACTTTGCAATTCCAAACCCTGTTGGCTTTGAAATAGTACACTATTCCCAGAAGAAAGCTGAATTAAGAATTTGATCATGGATTTTTTTACAAAGGCCTAGCTAGGAAATAATTATTTTCAAATGCAGATTCGCAGAAGAATGAGAGGTCCATAACTCCAGTACTGTGGTAAAATTGTGTAGGTAGAGTTAAATAGTGACTTCATCCTTTCCACCCTGCATCTCTGTGTCCTCTTATTGGTTCCATTAACTAACATTTAAGCAATGCTTTGAAAATTTATTCTGAGATTTCAAGAGGAATGTAAATGTAGTATAAAACTGTAAAGAAACTTGTGTATCAGATGGAAAAAAATAGCAGGTAGATTTACATAATCCTTTGACTAAATTGCAAAACATATGGTCCCCTTAAGTTCTTTCATAAAAACATTACTGAGATGAGATGGACACATCTGTGCTGTAGCAGAGTGAGATTGATTCATGTTAAAAGATATTTCTCAACCTAAGGCATATCTTTCTGATCTGTCACAGAATGCAAACCCACTGTTCCCAGTAGGAATGTTTTGCTTAAGTTTGTAAAGGAAGAGTGATTCACAAAGGCTGTGCATTTGTGAACTGTGGGCCAAATCCTGCCTGCATGGACAGGTTACATGTTGCTCTATCCCAGATATGGAGAAGTCCTCTCAAGTACCTCTTTTTGGAAAGTTTAGGGAGGAAAAAACATCCATGAAATATCCTTGGACAAGAGAGTCATCTGGCACTGTAGTGGGAAATATTATTATTTCTACCAGGTATTTTTAGTTAATATTTTGGGAGAATCATATTAAGATGCTTTGCAATGATTCTTAATGCCTAGTGTACAGGTGGTGAAGCTCTAGAAAATGAGAAATGAGTGAGCCTACCTGGCCAGTCAATGGCAGATGAGGTATTTTATAACTTCTACTGCAGAGGTGTCTGCTCAGGACCTTCCATCTTTGTTATGAATGAAATGGGTGTAATCCCAAGCGTTCTCTGAGTTTAAAAGCATCTACATCCAGATTTTTAATGCAGCATCCTCAAGAAAGAAGAGCTACCTTGATTTTTGCTTAGTATAGTATTTCTGTCTAGATTGTAGCTCAGGACTGCATGGATCTGTTTTAACAATAGCTTATGCAACAATAAGTACAGCACACTTAGTCTAACAAGAGTCTGCCTGTGTTCTGAGCAGTACAGGATTGTAATAAGATTTTGCTAATTTATACGTTGACTGGAAGGTTAATGTTGATTATTTTTTATTCAGCAGGGTCATTAGTTCTCCCAGGAGAGGTGGAACAGACAGTGACTTACTGTACACCCATGTTTGATAAGCCTATTCAACTGAAGTTTAGAACCTTGTCAGTTCCACAGCCGTTGGACAGCAAACCCCAAGAGGTATGAGGTCAAATTTATTTGTTTAAACACTAGGGGCTTGGGGTACTTTTTTTTTCCTGTTAGCTTCTAATGTTATTTTCACAAGAACAGAGGGATATAGATGGAGTGTGTGGAGCTGCTGTGAGTTAACAAGTCATATTAGTGATTTTTAAATTAATAATGAATTCTTAAATACATTAAGAATTGAGATAAACTCTCTATTTTAAATCTCTCACACTGCTACTATATAATCCTACAGTTTCAAAATGTGTATTTCAATACTTCAAATGCTACATGGGCTTTTTAATATTGAATTTATTTAACTCACGGAATATTCAAGTAAACTCTTGCACTTCCTGACCTTTTAACAAATTCTTACTTATGCAGAATGATGGGCCATTTAATTTTCCAGTGATCTCATGGCATTCTGCAGTTCTCTTTGGCTTAATATAGGAATCATTTTCTGCAATAAGGAGGTAGTGAATGGTCCCTTTAACATGACACTTCAGAAAAAAAAAGGGTTTAGAATATATTCTAGTCAGAATTGATATTTCCCTTGGAAATGAGTAGTAGCAAGATGCTGAGAGTCTGCATTGTCTAGGTCTGGTGTGGAGAGGTTTGCTTTATGGACTGCGAGACTTTTAATCACACAGTCAGTACAAGCTTTAATTTAGAATTGCCACTTTCCTTCAGAATTTCATTTCTTTTCAAAGAGCAACAGAAGGTGTGGATTGCTCACAGGCTTATTTTAAGTCATTAAGCTTCCTATCCAAATAGTCAGTGTGAGCATTAACTTTTGGGGATGTTTCTATTGCAGAGAATTCTTCACCACTCCTTTCCCCTGCCTTATCATTGTGATAGAAGCTGAAGTTAGCTTCCAGCTAAAATGGACCAGTTTTGATAGTTTCATGTGCTTATTGATGTTCCCATGAGGCTTAAATCAGGTTTATAAATGACGTATTACCAATGCAGGTTTGGTGTTATAGCAATGCATATGGTGCCTCCTTTCCTGAGCTCAATTGTGTTTAGTTCCTTGCAATAAACCCTTTACTATAAGGAACAAGTCTGCTTTGGGAAAAAGTATATGTACTAAAATGACCTTTCAAGCTTTAATGCCCACCATTATGTGAATAAAAATACTCACTCTTTTCCCTAAGGACTGACACAATTCAAGGTTTTTGACTCGAGATATATCTGTTGGCACACAAAATAAAAAAAAGAACAACAAAAAAACCTAGAATGAGGTTTTATAGCTTTCTCATTTGATAACTTCTGTATAAAACCGAAGAAGAAGGAAGTTTGTAGCAGCCTGCAATGTTCATAAAGGACTGCATAAGATTCTTTAAACTATAACTCATGAAAAATAGATAAGGATCCCACTGCATGCAAAATTCATGTCCATTGAGGAAAAGTTAGGTTATGAAAGAAACTGAATATTATTACATTGGTTAAGAGTTGCTGTATTTTTCAAAAAGAAGGATTTACAATTTTCACAACCGTTTGGTTAATGCCAGGCTACTTAAGATGAAGGCAGTTTTATCCCTAAATTATAAACATATTTGCGTCTTCATTTAGATAATATAACTGTGGCCTGATTTTTAGAACTGTCAAGACTGAACTGGTCCCTTTGAAAATCCCTCAGTGCTTCAAATTGTCATTGCCTTGAAAATTAAGTCTTGCATTGCTTATGGCAGAACTAGTTTAGAAAGAGAAAAATATTTTCCCTGGAGACATCTCTGCTTTGAAATGAGACTGTTCTCTGTCCATCAAAACAACTCTGTTAGGGAAGGGCAACAGAATGTGGCTGTCTAATTGGTTTTCTTAGAGAATGGGAGACCATTCCATATGAATAATAGCAACATGTCAAATGTCTGTGCTGTGGAAACACTTGTGAGGCACTTCAGGGTAAGGTGTGTATCTCTGAATGTATTGGTGGGGAAAGTTTAAAAAATGAAGCTCTGCTAAGACCCAGTTTATAACCCGGCTAATTGTTAAAGAACAACTTGTCTCCCCGAAAATGTTTCCCTGTCGAAAGCTGTTCGGAAGTGGCTTAGTGAACGACATAGCAAATTATTTGTGTTGTCCACCAATGTTCTTTCATCTTTCTTTCTTCACTTTAGACATACACATATTACAGGATTTCAGTATTGACAGAGCAGCATACATGACCTCCCACAGGCCACTGCAGTTTGAACCAGCATGCACTTGATGGTTGAAGTACATTATCGTAGAACACTTTCCTTCCCTACCCAGAAATTTATTCTCTCCTTTATTTCTTCTATATACTTTCTTTTATAAAAAACATCATAGCTTTTTTTATGTCTTAATGCCTGCTTCCTAGGGTCTTTATTTGTTCTTATTTCCCTCCCTGCATACACGAGTGCAGTTGATGCATATTTTCCATCTACTCAATATAAACTTGCGTTCCAAGTGGGATTCATCTCACCTAACTTCAGCTTTAAATGCAGTCTAATTTAGCCCTTCAGTCATCAAGAGGCAGAGATAAGCAACTCCTGGAAGTGATTCATCCCATTTGCTGTAGGCATTTGTCATAAGATGTAATATATCTCCATCCACAAGCTCTGGCTGGTCCATTTTTGGCTAATTGACTACCTTAATCTAGAAACCTAATTTTTAGATGGCTGGGCTTAGGAAAGAAGAATTCTACCCTTCTATCCTCCTTTTTTTTTTTTTTTATCTTTAGTTTCAGCATTCAAAAAAGTATTTACCATGCCTGTCATTTTATCTTTATCTGTGGCATGGCAGTATCTATCACCTAAAATAAAGCTTCCATTGAGTTCCTTTGGTTTAAGGTCTTACTGATAGGCCTCGACTGAGGTTTGTTTCTGCTGCATGCTGTGCATAGACACAACAATAACGGAAGAACTTAAAGACAGGATCGACTAAGTGAACAAAGATGGAAGAGTAATGTCTTCTCAGAGGCCAGTAAAGACACAAAGATTGAATGACTTGTCCAGAATGATGAAGCAGAAGTGGAAAACTGGTCAAGATTTATTGACTTCCAGTCCCCAAGCTCAAGACAAACTTTTTTCTCCCGCGTACCCCAGTATATATATTAGGCTTATATGAGATCATAGCATACATGCCTTCCCCCCAGCTTTTTTTTTATTTATTGTCAGTAAACTAGTGAGTTTTCCCATGAGTATGCAATGAAATCATTGGTGAGTGAATGTGCATACTTTGCATAATTTGACCAAGTGAATCATAGATGCCATAATTACACAGAAATACAAGTTTTAGAAGGACAGAGACAGGCTGTTCAGTTAACTGTAACTCCACTCAGATTAATAAAAGAACTGAGTTGCCAGTTATTAATAGACTTTTGAAAATGTCAACTTTAAGGTATTTTATTTACAATATTTCTTTGTAAAACAGCCACTAGCAAAATACTTCAGTTATTAATATGACTATTACATTCTTTTCCCACTTTAATTTGGAATTGCAGGAACGGTAAATGAAAGTGATTTTTTCTTCAGAGAGTAAATCACAGAAGCAATCTTAAGCAAACTGGAAGTTTTCTATTAGAGCAGGATTCTATTCCCAGAGAGCTTTCAAAAAGATTTCAATTAGATGTTAAATTAGACACCTGAAATTCACATATTTCTCTCAGCTCCTTAGGCAAGAATAACAAGATAATAACTTGATCAGCTCAGAGGATTTGGTGTTCTATTGTAAAATGTTTTTCTTTTGAAATACATCAAAATTCCACTTTGTAGTATAAAAGTTTTAGATTACTTGTCTACAAGGAAGGTTGAAGTCGATGGCTTCTTCAGAGAAGAAGCAAGAACGGAATCCCTACTGCTTTGAGTATTCATTTGAGAGATGGAGCACACTGAAAAATATTCAGTGTGGATAAACTTTTCAAATGTGCAATGAGTGGGTAACAGAAAAATTGTTAACGGGGTGAAGTTGGGTGTGTTCTATTTTGTCGTCTAATTTCAGTCAGCATTTTGGGGTTGAGTTTTGTAAACAAAAGTTTTTCCACTATTTCTCTGTATCTACATAAAATGTTTCCTGGAATTACATGAAGGTCAACACAAAGTCATAGTGAATGTGTGTGTACTTTCCATAACTATGTTGGTAGAGGAAAATAGAGTTGCTTTTGTAGAAACTCTATGAAGGCTTTATGTAGTTTAAACTCTTCTTAGCTTAGTTACCTATAGATATGAGTCATGGTCTAACCTCAGGCAGACACCAAGCCCCAAGCAGCCACTCACTCACTCTCACACCAGTAGGATTGGGTAGAGAATCAGAAGGGGATAAGGTAGAAGACTCATGGGTTGAGATAAAGACAGTGTAACAGAGAAAGCAAAAGCTTGTGCACACAAACAAAGCAAAATAAGGAATTAATTCACTGCTTCCCATGGGAAAGCAGGTGTTCAACCACCTCCAGGAGAGCAGGGGCACATCAGATGTTAACAGTTACTTGAGAAGACAAATGACATTGCTCTAAATGCCCTCCCTTCTTCCTTCTCCCCCCCACTTTATATACTGAGTGTGATGCCATAGGGTCTGGAATATCCCTTTGGTCAGTTGGAGTCTGCTGTCCCTGCTGTGTCTCCTCTCAACCTCTCATGCACCCCCAACTCACTCCCCAGTGTGGCAATACCAAAAGCAGAAGAGGCCTTGGTTCTGTGTAAGCCCTGCTCAGCATTAACAAGATCATCTCTGTATTATCAACCCTGCGTTCAGTACAAATCCAAAACACAGCCCCATACCATCCTCTGTGAATAAAAATAAACTCTACCCCAGCCAAAAGTAGCACAATGTGGTAACAAATATTGTCACAACCAAACTAACTGGAAAGTATTTGTGCCTTGCATTGTATTTTAGAAGACTGTTTTGGGTTTCTGGAAATGAAAGACGGGTTGTAGAATGCTCATTGCTGGTACCATTTTTTACCCAATTACTGGTGACTTCACTGACTTTACAAAGAATTCCAGGAGTCTCTGCCTGTGAAAAAGATGAAAATGAAAAAAATGAAAAAATGAAAAATGAAAATGAATATTGTGTGGAGGTCAAGGAGTTGACCTCTGCTGTAATGGGAATGAAAGCTTGTGTTCAGGCTTTATCTTATGTAAACATACTTCAAATGTGCTATTTATAAAAGTTAATGATGGTTTACCTGTGATAGTCCACGGACATAAAGAAGATAATCGTTGCAAGCAGAATGAATACTGTTTTCCAGGCCAACTCTATCTACAAAGTTTTTTCCATTATAAATACCCATGGTCTACAGGTCTGCATCTAGGATGATTTATATGCTCCATCATCATGCATCCATTATATGCTCAATCATCTATTTAAGCCAGGGTAAGACAGGTCCCTAGAAAATTAAGCAATACAGATGATTTATAAAATTATACAACCCCAACAAAATTATTCTCTGATCATTCAGGCAACATTAAAGTTTATTAATAAAGGATGTAGATATTACCCAGATTGTCTCTGCCATGTCTATCAGGTGCATGGCCACCAGAGAGGAATCCAGCTACCACTTCTCTGACTGTGGCATTAGCTGTGTCAGTGCCACTTCTTACAAAGTGTCACATCAAATTGTGCAGGATACTGAGCAGTCACCGTAAGATGCTGAGTGTTCTTCCTGCCTGTCAGCAAACAAGAAACGTGTTTTCTCAATTTCAATACGTCATTAGTCACTGGCTTCACCAAGGATTCATCATAAGCTTGAAAAAATAAGCATATGTTTAAATCTTTTGCTGATTTGGTGCTGAAGTACTTAAATCTCTGAAACACATTTCTAGACGTGTTATATTAACTTCTCATAGGATAGGGAGCATTCCTGTTTAGTTTTAGTAGTGAGGATGTGTCTCCTGTGTTGTCCTGAAATTCATTTTATATAACTGCTTACCATAAACCTTTTTTGTTGTGACCCCCTGCAGTTTCTTATCAGCATAGGGCCTGCCATAGTTATTCGTTTTCATTATTTTATTTTATAGTCAGGGTGTTTATTCTAAGATATTTCAACCAGAAGCAATAAAATGCAATACAATATGTCAACAAAGCACATATTGGCAAATGCAGCAAGATTCTTATGTTCACCATGCAAGAAATACAAACCAGCCAATTGCATATCTATGAGATGGTGAAAAGAAATTACTGGAGTCTGAAAATTGATTATCTGTCATTTTGTTCATTTCAGGTCTTTCCTTTGCTGAAACTGTGTTCTGGGAATCATGTTGCATTAGTATCAGATGTATGTATGCTGAAGCTTTACGTAGTACTAGCCCAAATTTTAAGGATATGGAATCTGTCTTTGAAATTAAATGTAGCTTCACATAACATGTTCATATCCCCACAGCCTGGCTGCTACAAGTGGCAGGAATATAATAGATGTGTGCTAGGGTGGTTTTTAGATTCCTTGCCTTGAGCAAAATTAGTTAATGATATTCATTCAGATACAGTGCAGTACAAATGGGGCACATTAAATGGCTTAAATTAGGTCAAATTGAATAATTGAATTTATTCTTTTACTTAAAAAGAGCTTAATCAGCTGAGAGTGTTAGAGTCAGAAAAAATAGTTTAATTAAATATTAATTAGAAGTTTATATTTTAAGCTCCCCTATTATCACTTGCAGCAATATTATTTATGTATCTGGTTTTTCTCATTACAGCTACTGGGGGATGATGTTCAACCGTTCTCACTTGATGAAGAATTTGACTATGACAATGTGGCAGTGACCCCTAAGTTCTCTGAAGCTGAGCTGAAGGCCATTAAAGAATTGTCTAAAGAGAAGAAAACAGGTTCAGCATGAGCTGAAGACTGAGTCAAAGGCATTCTGTGCAGGCTGTTAAAATGACATTTTTATGGGAGAAATATAGCTCTTCATTGTACCCCTGTTTAATGTTCTTACCTGTGTGGTCAGTAAATGACGTCCCTGAGATTTTTAATTTTACCAAGGTGCCTTGGAGCCCGTATTGGCTCAGGATCGGTGTGCTGGAGTGACAAAAACAGGCTGGTGGATTTCAGAATAGCGCGATGGCTACTCTTGCTTATATCTGGTATTGACTTGGTTTCTGACTAGTGCAAAACTGGTCCTAAAGCTGCCTTTTACCTAGTTCTTTCATCAGTTAAGGGCTTTTGTGCAGCTGACAAATCAGTCTATGAACTCTTTCTCTTAAATATACAGAGTTACAGGAGTGAACAAATCTGGGATTTTTTTTTCTCTGCAAAGAAATAGATATTCCAGTATCCAATAAACTTTTTGTGTTGACCAAAATTGACATGGTACAACTCCTAAAATGAAAACAGTAACTTCTCAAAAAAACCCTTCCACATGGAGGAAAAAATAACAGTATCATCCATTAAAGGAATTCACATTGAAAGGCTGTAAGATTTTACTGGTTTTTTACAGCAGATGATTTTAAATACCAGCTTATAGTTTATACTCTGCATCACTGAGAGACAGCAAATTGGAGTTGAATAAAGGTCAGCTACATGGGTGGGAGAGTGTGCATCTCTGATGCAAGGTAGTACGTACACTTTCTAAGAAAAGTTTAGAATTCTTTTTTTTTTCAGCTAACTGTAGAAGCTTTGCTTTTGAGGTTGGTTTAACATCACAGCACTGCATTGTATTACTGGTTGTTTTCTGGTACCGCTGCATTCACTGAAGTTTACTGACCAACATTTTGTCCTTGGCCTACATCCATTATTTCTGAAGTGGGTGATTAACATGATAAATATGGGAAGAGTGCCTAAGCAGACAGATAAGACACCAAACCATAAGTTCTTCAAAGGCTGTGGATGAAATCTCTGTGGCCGGTTGGCTGCTTCATTGGCATCGATTTATAAAAGCAAAGAAAGGTGTTTTGGTGTTCCAAGGGAGATTTTATGGATCAGTAATTTTGTAGACCATAATTATGCTCTGAATAGCATTTCTTTTGAGGAATGGTATTTACCTTGATTAGAGGGATGTAATTTAAGAGTGAAATTAACAAAGAAAAAACAGAAAAGAAAGAGGTGTCACAGAAGATGTTTAAGGAGAGTGATATAAAACTACAAGTATGTTGTATAGAAAAACTGGTTTGTACAGGACCTTGCTGGTAGAAGGTAATGAGAATTTTTTTAAACACCTACACTCAAAAAGGTGCCTGTGCTGTAGTTAAACTGCTTTTTGAAATGTATTTGGCTGCATAGCAGATTCTGCTTGTTTTTTTGAAACATTTTTTTGGTTTTGATTTGTTTTAGGTGAATTTGCCAGAATTCAATGAAGTGTTTTGTTGACATTTGAAATTAAGGCATTTCATGTAATGTATATAAATGGGAAGGAAAAGGAGCAAGTTCTGGAAGAAAGAAATTGAGAAGTGCTGTATAATGATAGCAAGATCAGCCTTTGAAAGCCTCAACAGAAGAATAAGGGAGACAACTTCATTAAAATATGTATATATAGCAGAGATAATGTAAGGAACCTCAGTCTGAGAGACCTCTGCACAGAATTTGCTATCCTTCAGACAAAGAATCAGCCATAAAACTGAACTTTTGTGGTTTTGTGGAATGCTGAATTAGGTGCTTCTTGTGTGGGGTTCTTTTTTAGACAGATGTGAGACACACAAACTATAGATCAATCCTGTGGGACTGGAGTCAATGAGAAGAGTTGTCTAGAGGTTCATAATGTTCTTGAGGTCAAATCAGCTCTGGAATCTGTTATGTGAATTTTCTATTCATTTCATTATCAATTTTCTCTGTACATTAGGGATACATCCAGCCATTCAGTTCCTTCTCTCATAGGCAGATGATTCTTACCAAATGTTCAGAGTACCTATTATGCTGCATAAGTGTCATTCAGTATAGTCATTATATGGTTTCACTTGATATAAAGAAGCACTTTGCTGCAGAATACCCAACAAAATTGGAACTCTTTAGTGACATTTATCTTGCACAAAGAAATGGGGATAATTCACTTACATTTACACCACTCATGAGTTAGATTTTTGCTCTTTGTTAACAGACATGAATATCACAGTGAAGATTGCATTGCCTACAATGCAGGCTACATTTTCTGAACATGACATTTTATTGGCCTGCCCCTGTGGTTGTTTTTGGCTTGTACCTTTCATTGGATTATCCTTCACAGAGGAGGCATATTTTCCTCTTCTCCATTACCAGGTTGTCATTTTTAAGAACATACTTTATGTGCATGTTAAATTTTATACTTGCACATGGAGTTAGTTACCTGGAATTGTTTCAGTGTTTGTGAGGTGATTTGAAGTCTGAATAATATATATCTTTTCCTCTTGTAGCTTGTGTTCTCTTTAATTTTTAATATTTTCAGCAGGGTTTGGTAAGGGACATTTGTCTTTTTTATTTATGGTCTTTTCTACACATTTTTCCTGTTTTCCAGAAGAATTAAAGGCAAAGCTCTTACATTGAACAGGAAACTTGGCAGGATTCATAGGATCAATTTAGGAGGTGCTGCAGTAGGGAACAGTTTTCTCCCTACCACAGTGACACGGAACTGCAAAATCTGTGATGTTGGGTCAACCTGTTGGAAGTGAAGGCTCTGTGATGCACCTCTCTAGTCCCTTTGTATTCATGACTTCAGTGATGTCTAAAGTACAGTAGAGATGTGCATCCATGTCAGTCAGGGAGCTTATCTGACTGGGTATGGTAGATGTTATCTACCAAAAAATGGGGGGTTTGTATTAAACTTGTTGCTTACTTTGGTGTTACCAGAAGGATACTGAGTATTTCTCTTCACAGTCTTGATGGATCCTCAGTTATGGGGGGAAACTCTTTGAGTTTTATGGGAAGTTAAATAGTCCTTCAATCAGGGCAGGAATCTGAAGGGTTGTTTCCATGGCTGGTTCTGGTGAAAGCTTGAATATTGTTAATGCACAGAGATGCTCCTTGTGGGTGTAGAAGTAACAGTGATTATTTGCTGAGATAATGAAAGAGTAAGATAAAAATTGAAAAAATGAAAAGAGATGCAGACAAGTCTGACTCAGATGTTGTTATGGTTCTAAATATATTTCTATTAATGAACAAAGGTATCCTTTTATACACTTGCATACACACAGTGCCACTGAAAGAAAATAATTTAGTATGGAGAGTACTCACCCGATAATTCAGAACCTTTTGAAGAAGGCACAGAAACAAATCCCTGCTCTTACGGAAAAGACCTTTGATTCTCTGGCCTTCATTTTCTGCTGCTATAAACTGGCAGAACTCCACTGAGGCCATTTGTATTCATACAGAGAAGACAGGAGCCTGGTGTTTACAGTCTTAGCTGAAAGAATATGGAGCCAAATCAATTCCTGATTTAACTTCACTGAATATATAGTTATGTGTATGGCCCATTATCATTATGGGAAAAGATTTAAATGAAGAGGCAGCGCAAATGAAATGTAAAAAACATATCTTGTAACTGTTCAGATACTAATTTTGCACAGGTCATTTTGGAGTTTCTGTAGTAATGTGTGCTTAGAACATTGCTTTGCGCTTTATGAAAAATATCACATACATTTTCAAGTCCTGTTCAAGTCACAAAACTTGATTGCATACATAACTACTACAGATTCTGACCTCCTTTAAAGTGTTTTCTTT